CGGAAACGGCTGCAAATAGCACCGGCTATATGAATGGCGGTGGTAAATAGCTGCTGAATGACAGCTCGAAATAGCGGATCAATCACAGTTCAGGCTCTGGTCTTGAACAGACGTGTATGCATTGTGCCGTATTTATAAATAGCGACAATAATTCCACTGCCAATGCCGCTATTTCGGTAGTTCTGCCGGCCTAGGCAATGTTAGTATGCAGCCTTGATGACATAGGTACACGAGGAATGCATAAGACGAAATCTGCCCACGTTAGCTCGTAATTTCCTAAATCGCTAGATGTAAATGAATGCCGTGTTTATTTCTCATATTGGGCCCAGATATCTAAACACAAATTAAGAGCATAACTATTAGCCAGATAGCAGCCTCTGTGCATCTCAATTCCAGCTCACAACTCCGAGCTGTCAGCCACCCCCACGTCTGGTCAGCATGGTAAGACTCAGCACGGAACGGCACGGCTCGTCGTGGCCGGTCAGTGGCCCCAGGAGGCCATCGGTCGCGCACACGCATACGGCGCGAGCGGCTCTCCCACGCACTCGACGCGTACGGCCCGCCTGTGACGTGTGACCCGGCGCCCCAGCAGCGGAGATAGCGGTGGTTCAGAGACGACCCATACCGATTGGCCGTGGTTCGCGGGCGTGTAGAGTGTCGACGGAGACTGGATGCGGGCAGGCGAGCTTTGGTCGTAAACGGCGGGAGGGAGGGAGAAACGAGACAAGAGAGAGTAGGAGGTGAAGAGAAAATGGAAAGATGAGAGAATTAGTGGAGGGAAGGTGCAGGGAAAGGACAGAGAGAGGGATGGGTGGGAGGGAGGAAGAGCACCTGGGAGATAAAGGGAAGGAAAATGATAGAGGGGAAACAATCGCACACAAAAGAGAAGACCGTTGGTGTAAAATAAGGGGAAAGTGTCCTCGGTTATTTATATAACCATCCCAGTTTAGACACTGGCCCGGGGAGGGCGCGGGTTCGGACAATCTCTGCCCGGGCGTCACCTCGGGACGGGGGATTATGCCCGGTCTGTGAGCAGAGCCGACTGCGCGGGTGGCTCAATATTTGAACAGCCGATGCGACCCGCACGGCTCGGCCGGCCGTGCGCCGGCAGACGCTAGCGCTGGGTGGGGCGGGATGGACTGCAGAGCCTGGAGGGAAGGACTGGAGCCCGGAGGCCTGTTTTAGGAGTAGGAGCAGCTGGTGGGAAGGGAAGGGTGGCTGTAGGGCCTGGAGGTATATCTCATCGGCAGGAGCCTGACCAACCAGCAGCTGGTGGGGAGGGCAGGGTGGCTGTATAAGCGCCTGAAGACGTACAGCCCACCGCTAAAGTAATGTAGGGTTTTACCAATCTCAACGGTTGGCTTTGACTGGCGATTGTTTAATGCGGAGTGATCGAAAAGAAGATTTCAATAGCTAAAGTTGCAGCTGCAAGGGTGACGAAACATATAAGCTACATTCAAAGTTTCATTGTAGTCTGGCTAATCGTTCCTAAGCTTCAGAAGCAGAATATACCCATGACTGAAACCCCACATTACTTCTGCTGTGGACTGTACCTCTGCAGTAGCAGGAGCACTGAACAGAAACTGGCGGGGAGATGAGGAGAGCAGCAGCTGTGAGGTCCAGAGTTGTGTTGTCAATTATGGAAAATCGTGATACCGATACCAAACCAAATACCAACAATACCCACGGAAAATACCAAAACCGAACCGACATGGGAATATAAGGGAAATACTAACTTTGTACCAAAATACCAAATGCATATACCTTAAAATACCAAACACCAAGTTAGCATCGGTTTGGTATCGGTATGTATCCGTAAACCAAAATCTTGGTATCCTATGGACATCTCTAGCCCAGAGTTCTGGAGGGTCTTCTTACCAGGCAGTCACCAGCCATCACCTTTGCTGCCAAAAAGACGATATTCATCAACTGTTACATAATTTGGCGGTGATACTATCGTGCTGAACAACGGCGAATTATTGATGCAAGATTTAAATCAATGTGGACACATTGAAGGGGCTAACAAAATTAAATGTGGATCTTGCCATAGAACGACGTGACTATTTTCCCTGTTAGTTACGGACGGACTGTCCATCGAGGACATTTTCTCACGTCAGTCGTAAGGACTTGAATGTGACTTAGCTCTTCTTTATTTGTTTCGGATATTTTAACAAGGTTGTGTGCATGAATGGTATACCTTGTGCGATAAAATCTAAAGCATGGTTTTCTGAGCTGGCCATGAAGCAGATTGATTGTCATATTTTGAGTGACATCAGCTTCTAGAATCTGTATTTTCAGCCGGATAACTGGTTTCGCGTGCATGCTAATCCTGTCGGCCGCCTGTCCAAATATGGCCGACAGACGCCAGCTGGTCGCTGTGATCCACGTGGGTGGGACACATTCGTCACACGTCTCCGCTGGCGCGCGTACCGAGATTCAAAGATGTGCCCGATTTGGTCCGCTATCGGAAACAGCATACCTTTTCACTTCGGCAATTGTAAGAACAGGTCCTCGTCTATGTCCATGAGCAAGGCGAAATGTGTTGAATGCGGGCTTGCCATTCCAGGCTTCATGATAAATGTCCATTTTACTAGCAGAAATTTTGAGCTTTTGTTTATAGGAGGACGTAAAACAGAAAAACATTTCATACAAGCATTTGAATAAGAATACAAATGCAGATCATGAAACCATACAAATGCATATCATTCCTTTGGTTGGCAGTGTTTGCTTCAACAGAACGTTCGTATATGAGACACCAATAATAATGAGCTTAGAGCAGATATAAGACGTTATAAAACGAACTGTTCACCCGCGTTGTGCATTGTCTATAGTGTTATCGAAATTTGCAATGATTACATAAAAAAACACATTTTCAAGTGTTTCATTGCGCGAAGTGGCCAAACAACTTTCGGCAATGAAAATGAGCTTTTCGGTATTTGTCGGTTATCTGCACTACGTTTTTTTTATTGTTAAAAGATCACACGACGGCCCGGAGTAATCCTATAACATTTGGGTCTGTGAAGCTACCACTCTGCATTGCCGTACTCGTGTCCCTTCCCTATTCAAACTGCTTTGAACGGTAAATAATATTGCATAGCTTAAGAATGACTTAACTTCCAATACCATCCCTCATCTCCCGTCCTGCTGAGTTCCTGAGCTCCGTCCCCCTAGGATGAACCCCAGTTGGTGAACTCACTTCTCACTCTGCAGCAATATAGGGCCTTGCATCGGTCTGCTCAGAGGACGGGGCAGAGCTTCCTTTCCCGGGGGGGGGGGGGGCTAATCTACCACCAAACGCCGCCTATTCACCGGCCGCCAGCGAGTCAATGGATCATCAGTGGGCGAAACCCCGGCCCGGAAACTTCCTCCGCTTTTCGTTAGACGCAGTTCGAGAGAGAAAAAAGCAGCATCGGCTGGCGGAACGGTGGATTTATCTAACTGCGCCTCACGTTCCAAATAAGCTACCCCATGTTGAATTTGCAGGTCCAGTTGAGGAAGATTTAGAAATTCACATATAAATGCACATGCTTTACACAGGGAACAAGGGGATTCCATATAGGCTCATCTGCCCTAAGTTTGCTGCAGTATAACCAACCCTCTTGTCACTGTTCAAATATATCCAGCGGTGACCCTCGTCACCATGCAGCCGACCTGGTCCGTTGACCTTGTCGCCGCGGGCCCGTGTTGCAGCCGGTGGGACCCCAGGCGGCCAGGTGCGCGACCCGAGGCCGGTCCATCGACCCGCCACCGGCAGCAGCCGCGCCAAATTTACACTCGGCGCCACCGGGCGAACGCAAACCGGCGGCCGGCGCCGGTGTCATACATTCCCGCCGACAGCCAGACACGAGGGCCGCGTTCCGTGCAAACGGAGGATTTCTCCCCAGCTTTAGACGGGTGATGCAATGCCGTGGTCGCGGTAAAATGACCGTCCATTACGCCTAACCGTTCCGCGCAGAAGACAGGACTGGAACTGGGACAGACGCTTTGTTAGTTGACCTAGGGCTTCTGTTTATTGGAAGTGCATTAGGAATTACACAATTCGCGTCTCGCCCTGAAAACGAAAGCCCGGTTGGGATGGATTGAGGATGAGGAGTGTGCCGGATTTTAGGGTCTCGCACCGGTTTAAATGAATTCGGTCCTGTACGGTACTCCTTCGCTATCTCCCCCTCTCCCTCCCTCTCTCTCTCTCTCTCTCTCTCTCTCTCTCTCTCTCTCTCCCTCTCTCTCCATCTCTCTCCTATTGTTCTTTTCTTTTTTCTTCCTCTCTACTCAGTCCCTCTCTTCCTCAGCCCCTCCGTTGTCTATGCCGAACTCTCGACTGTCGGAGGGCGGCGGCCGATTAATATAGCTGCCGACCGGCCGGTGACGAGGGCACTCAGCGCCGCTCGAGACCTGATCGCTGCCGCTCCGACGACCCAACGAGCTTCGTTTCACCCCGAGCGGAGACGGCCGCGACGGGACGCCGCGCCGCGCCCGATGGCAGCCATTCGATATCGGCTACCTCTGAGCGCCGCTCCGGCACTGAATGGGCGCCCGTTCGCCGTCCAGGGGTGACGGCGGCACGCGGCCATCAGCTCGCGCCGTCGGCGACGACGCGGCGATCAACGTGGAGCGACGTTACCGACGATGTGATCAGTGCGGACCAGATGGACCGCCGGACCGCTGACAGCCCCGAGGAGCTTCCGGTAATCGGCGGGTCATTTTTCGGAGGCTGAATAAAACTGTCGCGAGTTGAGATACCGGTGCGTGGCTGCTGATGGTGCATTATGGACCCATTCCTGTGTAGTTTTATTGGGAGGACGTGATAGGTAGCTGTGTTTATTGCTTTGAATTTCTGCGATTTGCATAACTCGATGAGTACATTGCGCAACCATGACTTGTACCGTTCCTCCTCTCAGAACATTGCCCTAAAACCATTCATCAATTTAAGTACACCTATCGCTTTTTTATGTTTGTGTGAGGCATTCGAGAAAAAAAAAATCCGCCGTGCCAAGCCTCACCTGCGAACTGGTCCACCGGGTCGTTGAGGAGGCCACTGAGGCTGAGGCCGTCAATGCCACCTACGTCGGGATACTCGGTGTCCTCCAGATCCCGGGAGTCGTCTTCATCGGGAACCTCGCATTGAGCATGCGACAGCAGAAGGATCAGCAGTAAACTCGGGGCCGGAAACATCCTGAGACAGAGAAAAACATCAGGGATAACCGATCAATTTCAACAAGTGATATCCATGCTTCATGTTATTTGAGAATGATACGGTAAAAGCGAACAGCTGTCAGCATTAGCGACGAGTACGGATGTTAATTTAGTATCGATTCGTTGCATCCGTTTGCTTTATTCATTTATTTGCTTGTTTATTTTGACCTGGACAAAAAAAAAACTGGCATATTTTCACAGGAAAAATGGCATGTCATTCGAGGATCTTACAAGTTCACAATTGTTTGAATGTGGGAGAAGATAAGGACATTTGAAGCTATTATAGTTTCGAGGTAAACGGCTCATTTAAATCAATCACCCATTTTCGTAACATTATGTATTTCGATCTCTACCCTTATCAAGTTCAGAGAAAATTAAATTACCATAAACAGGCAGCCTGAACATTATCCTCCAAACAACATATGTATGTACCTACAGTGTTCAAAGATCAGTCTTCAATTCTTCTCAGTTACACCTTTTTTCGATCCGAATCGGCATCTGGTCAGTTAGTTTCGGCAGATCTGCATTAGGAACGTCAGCTGGAGTGCGCTTTCGACAAACCACGCCTCAAACTCGGCATAGTGCAGCAGCGTGACATGGGGCATTTGATGTCGACAATGAGCGTGATTTCGACACTGGCTAATGGAGTTCGGCACACGGCATAGGACTGTGACATCGGGCATTGGAAAAAGGCAAATTTCATTTTACAATGGCAATGGTCATGCAGTTTCGTTGGCGGTATAACAAGTTAAATCGAACAAATTTCAAACCATTCTTTTACATTGATGCGTTTTCAATGCTTACCACTAGAATTTATAGCATTTTCCTTTCCTTTAGACTTCCCTTGGATTAATGGAACACAAAATACGCCAAGGCCGTGGTTTTAAGGTCTAAACGTTTTCTTCTTCTTTTCTGTGAATGGAGGGTGAGTATAGGCTAGCAAGCCATGTCAGAGTCGTGAGATGAGAGGATCATGCGGAGGAAGCATTTGGGTGAGTCAACCAGTGTGAGCGGTGAGCTGCGGCGGCTGACAAGACGCCGGTATAAAACTGTCTCGCTACGGATAAGCAGCCAAAGCGATCGATATGGGTCAGCCCGTAGGGTTTCCACCTTTCCAGAGGGCAGTTTTTTTTTTTGTCCAGAAGTAGGTACAGTTGACCATGACTGACACCACCGCCGTCCTGCAAACATTGTTGCCGCTCTCCGGTGACACGCCCATTCCCATCTCGGCAGACCTGAACCATCCGCGCTGGCGGTCAGCGCCACTCACAATGTGTCGACAGATCGACACAAATGAAAAAATCAATATTTTTGTTTTTTCATGCAAGAAATACGGCTAAAACATTGTCAACTTTAGATGCGTTGAAAGGATCGATGCCCCGAATGACCCCCGTCAACCTTTGGATTTGCCAGGAGCGTGGCCCCGAATGACCCCCGTCGCCCTTTGGATTCGCCAGTGCTTCCACATTGTCACAGAGTGACGCAAGGATGGTGACCTCGAATGAGGTCAGCTTGTGTGCCGGAAGCGGTTGATGTTAGGGACGAACCGGTGTTAAGGTTCCAGAGCGACTGACGAAATTAGGTGCCCGTTGCCGTATTCGAATGAACGGTTGCCGATTCGGATTGAAAAAGGTGTGATTACTTAGCAACCAAGCGCCCATATTGAGTGTCTCTTTACAGTACCGTGGTACATTTTAACCCTCGCATGTGTGCGGCGTTTGCCAGCTTCTAATGTGTGGGGGGGGGGGGGTCGGGTCGGTTGGACGCCCCCCCTTGCCGTTTGGCCCCTGATCGAGCTAGAGCTTCGCGAAAAAAACGAGCGTGTTGCCCGTGACGAGAGGAAGCCGATGATACCCAATTTTAAGGTCCTAGGTCATTGGTTGACCTTCCAGGTCAGGTCAATGACCCAAAGTCGGGAAAATCGGGACCTGTTAGAAAGTCGTAAAGTGTGGCTGCTAAGGGGTTTTTCGGGGTGCTGATCACGAATATCGTGTTAGTTTTGATCACAGATGATGTCTTGAAGCATTTAGACCAGGTCGGGTCAGGTCAGGTCAGGTCAACCAGTAAGCGTCGTGACGGGTATTCGTAGTACGTGTCAACCGCCTCTGACAGCTTCGTAACATGTTACGAAGTCACCAAAACTACTTCGTAAATGTTCAAATGGTTGCTAAATTCGAATTCAGCTCCAAAAACTAGCCTAGAAACATGTAAAACTCGAAGAAGTGACCCGAGGTCACCCGAGGTCACCAAAGGTCAATGACCTGACCTGACCTTCAGGTGACCTTGACACACACGGGAGTAACATCAAATCACATGTTTGAACGTTTGAAACCACGAAAAGCTTGCAAACACGCGGCTAGTGCGAGCCGACATACGCGAAATCGCGATTCCGGCCAAACATGGTCTCGGAAAAGAGGTCACAGGTCAAAGGTCATTTGGGTCAGGGTCATGAAATTTTCAGGGTATGTGTAAAATTGATCAATGTGAGGGGACTGAAAGTTTCGTCGCGATCGGCCGCTTTTTACGCGAGTTATTCGCGAAAAACCATGGGGGGGGGTCCATCCGACCCCCCCTACACATGCGAGGGTTAACGCACATTCTTAAAATGCCTTTCCGAAAAGATAAGAGTTGCTTAATTCACTGATGAGATGAATTGACCATTGTCTAGCTTGGCTGCAAGCTGCCGACGTAAAATGCAATATGACAAAACAGAATGCCCTTTGTCGATATTAAATGCCCATGCCGTTGTTCAATGACCCTGGTCGAATATCAACAGATGCTAGTCTAAATCCGTGAAACGTGTCGAAATGCGTGCTCCAGTGTCGAGTTGCTGGAGTGCCTGTCGAGATAAGGTGCCCGCTGCCGTAATTGAATGAACGGATGCCGATTCGGATTGAAAAAAGGTGTACAAACTGCCTCACCATATCTCACTAGCATTCCCACAACACTTTTGTTTTCGGTGAAAATGCAGACAGAGAGCCCATGCATTGTGCAAACGCTCATCATTTATGTTCATGAGCGTCCATTTGAGCCGTCATGGATGAAGTCGCACACAGTCTACTGTATGTCTGCTCGAGGTGCTGACTCGCGCCTGACGAGTCTCCTCTGACAGGCCCATTTGGTCGCGTGCAGAAATTAGTCGCGGAGGCGCAAGATGATGGCAGCGGCCAGCTCACCGCCGCGCCGTCTCACCAGCCCCCTTACACGAGAACAGGCATGTAGCTAGAAAGTTATATGAACTGATATCCGTTTTTTCGAAAGTGGCACTGATAACGCTGTTGAAATTATCAACTTCGATTATTAATTATTAATTTTAATTGTTAAGTTAATGCGGGACTCGGCGATTCTGCTAAAACTTTGTTGCATCAACATTTATAGAGCATATCAAAATTAAACAAAAATAATATATAACGCCCTTAGTAATGATAAGACATCTAAAATATATCTTAGCAATAACTCTTTATGATTTCATAAATCACCGGTGCCCTGATCAATTCAGTTCCAGTCTCAGTTCAGTTCTTGTCTGTGTGTAGTCTCTAAGGAAATTGTACTCTGCAGCGATTCTCTTAAGAGCGTCGTTTTAGAAATGATCAACGGCGATCATATTTTCCGATACGTTTACAACTTTACTGAATAAGGCAGTTTTCGCCCCTGCGGTAATAAATTATTGACCGGGTACGTAATCGCGTCGTCGGCACTGCTTAGCTGCATACCTCCGTCTAATTAAACATGCTATCAATCCCTGCAACGGGAAATGCTAAACTGGTAGGAATGTGTTCATTCAGCAGGCGAAATTCCCTTGCATGCGGGACTCTCACCATGAAAGCTACACTGCACCCTGGCCGGCGCTTGCATGCGGAATCGTTTGTGCAAGCTAACAGGGCCCAGGTCGGCACGCCGTCTGCTGAGGGCTGACATGCCGTCCTGAGAGCCTGCTCGTCTGAAGAGCGGCCCTCGTGTTGCGTGCCTGTCTGCGAGCTCTCTGACATCACTGACCTCCCCTCCCCCCCCCCCCGACCCGCTGACACCCGGCACTCAATCAATGGGCCTGCAGCCCGCCGTGGGCCGGAGCGGGCGGTCCGGTCCGGTCCTCCGGCTGCCCTGTGGAGTGGGGGAGGAATGTGGCGCGCCGGAGACGCCCCGGCGCGGCCAGGTGAGAGTTTAGCGGAGTTCTCGGCAGTAAGACGAATTAGGAAGCTCGGGACTGACCGATGAGTGCCCGGTGGACCCGAACACACGCTACCAGTCGGCTAGGTAATAACCGCATGTCGGTGGGCCAGGTGGCAAATGGCCGCTCTAGCATGATGCAGACTGTATAGAGGCCGAAGAAGTGGAGACAGTCGGCATACAGCCACCTCAGATGTAACATTCTGTTGCTGCTACCCCAGCTACACACATCCTCTACGCTTGCAGTTTACCCCGGTCGCCCTGCACACGATTTCGGGGAGAAATTAAATCCCGGTGCTGGCATAAATCTCTCCGGCGCCCTGAAGTAACAATCAAGATAAATTCTGGACGACCGGCTCAGTGCGGTCTCATTTTGTGGCCAGGGATTGGACTTGGCTGGTTACGTGGTTCTAGCAAATACGGCA